GTAACCATAGATGAATGATTGGTCTCGCTAGTGAAACGAGACCAATCATTTATCTATGTTAGTAACCTTAAAAACTTCAACAAGTAAAAAATAAGAATATCAGATATATCCAATAATAAATCAAGGCTAGTATTTAACTGCAAATAAAAAAAATGACATTTTGTATAAAAAGTAATTCCCAATCCTAAGCAAAAATACCTACTTATTGCACAGCAAAATAGTCACCTCAAAATATTGTTATATTAGTAACAATTTAAGTTCGTGATGCATCGCCATTTATTTCAAACTAAAGTTTTTTAAGAATGCATAGTTAATAATGACCACCTCACAACAAATATACTACATATTTTTTTTTAATCAAAGCTGCCATATTTTTATCTCATACAGCAGTTTACCTAAGTGAAACACCATTTTAATGGACATAAGAATCTAAATAATGAAGTAAAACTTCTTTAGGCACGCTTGACTTGGGGGGTAAACAGGCGAATGTGTTACGATTAGTTTCACTGGTGACTCATCGGTAAACAATGAACAATACCCGTCACAGAATCTAGTGCTTGGTGGATGATAATGGCCCAGTGCCGATTGGTGGATGATAACGGACCCAGCACGGGTTAGTGGGCGATAACGGACCCAGCACGAGTTAGTGGGAGATAACGGACCCAGTGCGAATTGGTGGATGATAACGTAACCAGCGCGGATCGGTGGGTGATAATGGACCCAGTGCGGATGGAGGGGTAATAGTGGACCCAGTACGGATTGGAGATTAATAACGGTCCCAGCGCGGATTGGTGGGTGACAATGGACTGAGTGCGGATTGGTGGGTGATAACGGACCCAGCGCGGATTGGTGGGTGATACCTGATCCAGTGCGGATTGGTGGATGATAACGGACCCAGTGCGGATTAAAGGGTAATAATGGACCCAGTGCGGATTGGAGGGTAATAGCGGACCCAGCGCGGATTGATGGGTGATAACGGACCTAGTGCGGATTGGTGGCGGATCTAGTGCGGATTGGTGGATGATAACGGACCCAGTGCGGATTGGTGGGTGATAATGGACCTAGCGCGGATTGGTATTTTCTATCAACAAATCTTCAGGTTAAGTTAATGATTTTCAGATCATTGGAGCTAAAGAAGTTTCACTGCAGTCGTGTGGTTCATAAGCACACTCGCTTTATTTTTATATCCATCAAGTGTCCCAATGTTGAGCAAGTTTTGAAATGCTTATTGGGAAACCTGTTGCAAAAATAGTTGTTTTGTTATGAGTGTGAGTATTTTGCGTCGAAGCCCTGGTTTTTTATTTAGCCATAATTTGTCGGTTTTTGCCAATGCTTAAAAGTGCCTCAGACTGAGCAGATCACGTGGTGTGGACGGATGTAACGACGCTCGCGAGCCAGTGAATTAAAAATGGATAAAGAAGACAGTATTCGCTTAATACAACTTTACGGTGTAAGGGGTTCTAAATACACCTGCAAGAACCCAAGCCAACCTCACCTACACGCGGTGCACCCTGTTGACCAACAGACGAGGCTCTGGCAAACCGACCGATGGCGGTATAGCCATCAAACGACGTAGGGGAGGGCACCATAACCCTCGAATCGGGCACCTAATTTTCTTCCGCGGGGGAGACCAACAGTCCCAAGATGGCGTTGGGATTTTGGTTAATAAGTCCCTTGCCAACGTAGAAATGTCCAGCGTGTCGAACAGGGTAGTGTACCTTATTATAAAGCTCACTGAGATGTATAGCGTCAAGGTGGTGCAAGTGTACGCACCGACCTCGACACACTCTGACGACGAAGTGGAGGATATGTTCGATGATATATCGAGGGCCCTCCACTCCACTACTAAGACCCACTACAACGTTGTTATGGGTGACTTCAACGCTAAAGTGGGAGTACAGAATTGCAACGAATCGGTAGTAGGATGCCATGGATTTGGAAGCAGAAATCATAGGGGGCAAATGCTCGTCAACTTCCTCGAACGGGAAGGGCTCTTCTTGATGAACTCTTTCTTTAAGAAACAGCCCCAAAGGAAGTGGACGTGGCAAAGCCCCCACACTATGACTAAAAATGAGATCGATTTCTTCATGACGGACAAGAAGTATATATTCAGAGACGTCTCCGTGATCAACAGGTTCAATACAGGTAGTGATCACCGACTCGTCCGGGGCTCTCTGAATATCAACTTTAAGGCCGAGTGCATCGGTTTGATGAAATCCAGGCTCCGACCGAGAATCGAGGGTCCAAAGTGTTCATACAATCTCTTGGAAGAAGCCATCTGACGAAGTTGACCACACCAAGTGGGGAAGTTGTTGCTTCAAAGCCGGCAGTCCTTTCGGAAGTGGAAGACTTCTACGGCCAGTTGTACGCATCACATGCATTTCGACCAGATCCCGGAAATGAGAATTCTAGAGCCACATTAACACGCCACTTCACCGAAGACCTGCCAGAAGTCAGTGTTGGCGAAATCGAGATTTCTCTTGAGCAGCTTAAAAATGGAAAAGCCCCTGGGGAGGATGGTGTTACAACAGAACTCTTGAAAGCTGGAGGTAAACCCGTATGAGGGAGCTCCAAAAGCTTTTTAACACTGTCCTGTTCAAAGGGAAAACTCCGGAGATGTGGAGTAGGAGTGTGGTCGTCTTGTTCTTTAAAAAGGGGGACAAGACCCTACTCAAGAACTATCGACCCATATCCCTTCTAAGCCACCGCTATGAGCTGTTCTCAAGAGTGATCACGAACCGTCTTGCGCGAAGACTTGATGACTTCCAACCACCGGAACAGGCTGGATTTCGGAGCGGATACGGCACCATAGACCACATCCACACAGTACGGCAGATTATACAGAAGACTGAAGAGTACAATCAGCCTCTGTGCCTAGCATTTGTGGACTATGAGAAGACCTTTGACTCGATTGAAATCTGGTCTGTCCTGGAGTCCCTGCAGCGTTGCCAAGTCGACTGGCGATACATCCAAGTGATTAGATGTCTCTACGAAGCCGCCACCATGTCTGTCTAAGTACAGAATCAGCAAACAAGTCCCATACCGTTGCATCGTGGAGTGAGACAAGGGGACGTTATTTACCCGAAATTGTTCACTAATGCAATGGAGGATATGTTCAAGACGCTGAACTGGAAAGGACGTGGCATCAACATAAATGGCAAACGCATCTCTCACTTGCGATTTGCAGACGACATCGTCATCATGGCAGAAACCCAGGAGCGACAAAATGCTGAATGACCTGGCTGACTCTTCTATACGGATCGGCCTACAGCTGAACTTGGATAAAACCAGGTCATGTTCAATGAACATGTTCTACCGGAACCGATAACAATACACGGTGCCGTTCTCGAAGTTGTTCAAAAATATGTATACCTCGGGCAGACATTGCAGTTAGGTAGAAAAAACTTTGAGGACGAGGTGAATAGAAGAATTCGGCTAGGTTGGGCAACGTTTGGGAAGCTACGTCAAGTCCTGACATCGTCGATCCCACAGTGCCGAAAGACGAAAGTCTTCAATCAGTGCGTCCTACCTGTGATGATTTACGGAGCAGAGACGTGGACACTGACGGTACGGCTGGTCCACAAGTTCAAAGTCGCTCAGTGCGCTATGGAAAGGGCTATGCTCGGCGTTTCTCTGAATCGTATCAGAAATGAGGTAATCCGACAGAGAACCAGAGTTATCGACATAGCCCACCGGATTAGTAAGCTGAAGTGGCAGTGGGCTGGCCATATTTGCCGAAGAACCGATAACCGTTGGGGTAGAAGAGTTCTGGAGTGGAGACCGCGTCTAGACAAACGTAGTGTAGGACGTCCTCAGGCACGGTGGAGTGACAATTTGCGCAAGGTGGCTGGCAGGAGCTGGATGCGAGTAGCCCAAAATCGATCTGATTGGCGTGCAATTGGAGAGGCCTATGTCCAGCAGTGGACTACGATAGGCTGTTGATGATGATGAAAACTTTACGGAAGTTTTGAAATGTTGTGGGATTCGAAAGAGTAAGTATTGCCATTCAAATGTAAGTAGGTGAGACATTTGAATATGAGATAAAAAAAAATAAAGCAGTTTAATGATTGATACTTAAAAATATAATAAATTAATAATATCACTCAAATCTGTGATAAAATATTTAAATAAGTTATTGCAATTATCTAAAATACAATTATATAAGAAACTGGATTCTTAACGAAATTCTAATTGTTAGAAGCTCTAAAAACACCCATAAAGAACACTGTTCTATTTTCTTCGTCAGCCAAAAAATACAGGAACGGACGATCAGCTCTGAAGACCTTAGGTGGTCTGGGTCTGGGTGCAGACTTCTTCATTATTGCTCTCTTAGCTATAAAAAAAATTACCGCACATTATTGGTTTTACTATGAGTAAACCATTAGAAACATTTTCACAAAATTTCAATATGATTTATTCCGAAGTAATATTTGCCATTGCATGCGGTCAGCACATGAGCTGAGGAGATTCATGGGAGTAGGTCTATGCTCTATATTGAGAATCATATTGAGATAATAAGTTTAAGGAAGGGAATATTTTTTTAAACGTAAGCTACTTTTTAAGCAACCCCAGTATTACAGCAATAGGTTGGTCTTTGTCACCACTAATCTTCCTATTTATTTAGACCACTTAAAGAACAAAATAAAAAAATATATGGAAGTGAAACTGCTTAGTAGCAATATTAATTATAATTAAAAACTAAGTAGTTATGATTTTATTTATTTTTTAAGCATTTAACTGCTAGATGTTTAAATCTAAAGAAAGGTTTACTAGAAAAAAGTAAAGTTTTTTTTATAATTGCTATTTCTTCTTTCAAATGTTTAATACTTGAAAAAGTATTCATTTGACATTGTGGGTTACCTACAATGCGAAGAGATGGCGCTGCCTTGCAGCTTAAGGCTAGGAAAATTTCGACGCGGCTAATAGGGCCGTGGTAGCATAATGGTCAGTGCATTCGTCCAGATAGCGAAGGATGCGGGTTCGAGTCCCGTCCGCTGCCTGGTCCGCGTGGATTTTTTTCTAGTAAACCTTTCTTTAGATAAAAACTAAGTAGTTGAATTATATTTATTGCGCGATGGTTTGATACCGTCCCTCTCCCTTCCATCTCTTCTGTGATCTCATTGGTGAATATTCTGATGTTTGCATGTGCAAACGGAACTTAGTAACGTTCCGAGAAGATTTTATTTGCGACAATAGTTATGTCTGTCCTGTCTGTCTGTCTGTTTAACAATAGTTATGTCTGTCCAGAAATTACAAGTTAATGACTCAAAAATTAAAAACTGGACATTACTCCAGTTATGTGATAAGTGCAGCAGCCAAGAGCAAGATACATTACGAATCTCGAACGAACTAAAGTGTTCCGTGCCGGCACGTGCAAAACCCAAATACTCCAGAAGGAGGCAAATCAAGGAGTGCAACGTAAGTCCAGAAAATTCCTTTCTTCTGATTAAAAACCCATATTAACCAGCGCTTACATTATCCATTATCAAACTTTACTATTACCACGGAAGTTTATCTATTATAATATGGTAAGTAATTATTAATGCTATTTACCAACAATCTATATTTGTCTCCAATGCCGAGGCAAAGGGCTTGATATGGACAAAATCACTTTCAGATTTCATTGGCATAGAACTACTGAGAATAGATATTCTCAGAAGTTTGAAACTAATTAGTTGCACATACACAAATATTCATTGGACTTAATGAGAATGATCAATACGTACGGCGCATGTTGCAGCTTATTGGTGGGCACCGTTCAACGACGATAGATGCAGCCGCGAATGAGCCGTGACCAACGCTTCTCTAGACTCCTTACCAGTAGAAATAGATGAAAAATATCTATCTCTTTATGGTGAAATTTGGTAGAAGAGCCCGCTCCGAGCGAAATATTCGCCGTCCTTCTACCTATCTTATCATTCATAAATTAATCAGAATAACTTGATAGTTTCGGATAATTACTGTATATGATCTAGCTAATAGGACTTATTTTTGTATTAATGCATGAAGCGCGTTAATAAAACAAATCAATGCAGCTGGAGCATGTTCATCACAAAAATCGTTTTAGACAGATTATTTAACTAGATAAGTAGCGGTAGCATTCAGTTTGAATAAGTAATATTTATTGAAGCACAAAATCTGTAATCGATAAATTGTTGAACCATGAAAATTTTTGGAAATTCACAGATATTCTTTTAATGTATCGGATGCGTTTTTGTGATACTTATATGTAATATGCTTTTAGTATATGAAAAGTTACACTGTTCCGTCCAGCGGTTCGGTGCATCTCCTCTGTAGGCAGTCATCCGGGGAAACAAACCTCCCTAATATGCCCGGTCCTGTCGCGACAACGTCCACTAGTTTCACGTCTCTGTTTCATCTCCATCATGGCAGCCCCTATGTTAAGTTTCGACGTACAGCCGTGCACCACACACCCTCAGACTTTCAACGCTGTCTGTGTCGCCGTCTCCGATGCTTGGAAGATCCCTCCTTCTCTATGCTGGGGGTACACGTCGAGTTGAAATGTGCCTCTACAGATCCAACTCGACTTTTTGAACATCTTAGTCGAGCAGCAGATGACGCGCAGGAACAATTTTTTAATGCAGAACTGGTGTTTTTGGGGGACTTTAATGCCCACCACAATTTGTGGTTAAGTTACTCCAAAACCGACCATGCAGGGATCTCCGCTCACGCATGACTGTTGATCAGCCCATCAGGATTCACTTCACCGGATCACTGCCTGATATCTACCAAAGCACCACAGGCCAAGCCCCCGCGTACAGGTCGGCAGATTGTGACGATATGTGTGACTTCTTTGAGTCCGTTCCTTGGAAGCAGCGCTGCTTAAGTGACAGGGACCTTTCAGCCAGTGTCGTCATGGACATGGATGGATCGGTCATCAGTAAGCAGATATGAACATTATAAAACAATATGTATAGTATGAATACCTACTGGAAAGCGTTGCTGAAGTATGTTTCAAACAAGCAGTGATTCCGCCATCTTGATTTCCATGAATTTGAGACTAGTCTTGAACACTCGGGCAGAAAGTTAAAGCACATGAATAAATTGTTTTTATTAATAACATAATTTTAATTTACTCTCCGTGTTTTAATCTAAGGTTTGAAAGTCCAATAAATATATATTATTATCTACACTCGTTGTTTTTTTTGCGACTCAAAATCCATCTTATACTTACGAAATCTAGTAAAAATATGATTTATTCCGATATACGTTATCAAACTTTATTTACATGAAGAGCAACAGGGTACGGCGACAAAAACAATTTTCCGAGATAAAACATTATACTTTAAAAATTGCATTCAGTATAAAGACTCTTTTATTGCAAAGGTAATAAATAAATTTTACTAGAGAGCAGCTTATGATGAATAGTTATAATCTTATTGAATTTTAAGCGCTTCGATACACAGCAAAGAAGACCGGAGCTTTGTTGACAAGGATCACAGCCAAAAACGGATGATCAGCATGAAACACGGGCGTCGGCGGTTCCATAACTAGTGATAAACACATCGCCACAGCCATAGCTGGAAATAATTTGGAAAAATCACAACTATAATTACGATAGGATTACACCAAAACATAATAAACTGCACACGCCCCAACGACGCTACATCACATTATGCAACAATGAATAGCTACAAAGTGTCATATTATATTCAAATGTTTCTAAAAACATACATTACTCTATTGCTGAAAATCAATTATTATATTTACGATACGATTAGGCCCATTTATGAACTAGACACGCCCCGAAGCTACATCACATTATGCATCATTGAAGTAAAATCTATTTTTTGTTTGGATTTCAATCTGCCACTTCCAGACTTAAATACTTCATCTCCTCTAGCTATCCTATACCTCCCGTACCTACATTAAAATTCACGGTGATCTGCCCTGTATTTACTAATACTTACCTGCCCATCTTTCGCATGCCAAACTGACCGGCATCGTGCGCGTATAAAAATTTAATTCGACAATAAGTATGGTTGAATTTTGTAACTCTGATGATTCGAACCAAGAATTTTAACGACGTTTTGGTATCAATGACGAACACAATTTTAGGATAAATTATGGGAGCTAGTTAAGTGGAATGCGTTTAATGTTTATAAACCGTTGTATAAACAGAATACCCGTCTTCTAATGTAAGCAAGCCATTCATTTAACTTTTTATCGTGACCGTCAGAATGGCGGGTCACTAGTCATATTCAACGTTGAAATCACTAGAAATGGTTGGAAAAGAATTGTTTCCCATTTGCTTCTATGTGCTTCCTGATCATGATCCATCTCCTTGCTCAATATTTAAAGAATAATAAAAACATTTGAGGTGACCAGCCATCCTGACGTCAGGATAGCTGATAACCCACCCGCAGAACACGTACTGTTAGCAATTACCGAAATTTTTATATGCACTTAATTGTTTACCATTTGTTTCCCCAAAAATCACCAACCATTATCTGTAGCTATCGAGGAAATAAAGATATTGATAGTACTCAGTTAATCCTTATATCTTTAATAGCTACAGGATAAAGTTGGTTTGGTTTCCGGGAAGAAAATGGGAAGCAATTATTGGAATATGAAAATACGGTAATTGCAAACAGTACGTACTCTACTGGTGGGGGTATCCAACCAGCCCTCCTGACGTCAGGATGGCTGGTCACCTTAAATGTTTTGATTATTCTTTAAATATTGAGGAAGCAAATGCCTCATGATAGCAAGCAAATAATAGCAAATGGGCAGCAATTCTTGACCACCATTTTAAGTGATTTCAACGCTGAATACGACTAGTGACCCGCCATTCCGACGTTTACCTTTTTATCTTGTAAAATGAAATCTATATCTATATGTGTCCAGTAAATATGTGTCAGAACTGGAAGGTAACCGAGTTGTGACGGTTCTTCGATTTTTTAAGAATTTTGCTGACTTGCTACCAAAAACCATTAATTGTGAATAAACTACTCCACTGTAAACATTGAATTGATTCACTACTACTTTTCTGAAAGCTGAAAATTTTGTGGTCGTTTATAGTATCTTAGAAATAAAAAGACTGACTGAAAAGTTTGCCCCAGAGCGCCCTTTCGCTGTTTTTAATAAAAACAGCTTATAAAGATAATAACTTTTGTACCTATTTGGAAAGCTTATAAAATTACTTTGTCATTTTAGTAATTTGTATGCCAAATTACATACAGTTATTTTCCGGCAAAGTTCGGGGCAAATACAAAAAAAAATGTTTCTTAAGTCCTTTTATATCTGAGATTGGGTAAGTTTTGGGCAAGCGTTTTTATAATGATCAATAATTTTTCAGCTTTCAGAAAAGTATCAATTCATGTTTACAGCGAAGTAGTTTATTCACAATTAATGGTTTTTGGCAGCAAGTCAGAAAAATGTATATGAGTTGTACATTTTTTTTAATTTAATATAATACAGTGATTATTTCAGTTATGTACCTTAGGGTATATAAAATTCACCGATCGCCTGCCAAGACAAAACCTTTCGTAAACAGATATTTCATAAATGACGTGACACTTGTTCTGTATCTAAAACGGTAGTAAATACTATTCTGTCTGTCTGTCTGCTGTCAACGAATTAAAAATAATGCCCTGTATCCACGCGAACGAAGTCACGGGGATAAAAACTGTTAAAAAAGGTTGTTATTTATTATTAAAGTAAGGCTATGTGTGCCACTTGTGCCAGGTTTTAAAAGGCACACAATAAGTAGATTTGAAGCGGATTTAACATAGAAATTAATGAAATATTAATTTTCTATATTAAATCTTCTGATTGTGACCAGTCAGTTAAAAAAATAATTACTCGTAGATACTGTCTCAAATAGGTGTTGATTTTAAAAATATGTTGAATGGACAACGAAAATTTAAGCAGACTAGACTAATAAGACTCACTACTATTACCCGTGAAACTTCTAAGTATTTTGGAAACTACTTATATAATTTTATCACCTTTAGGAATTAAAAAAAAATGTGAATAATTATTATAATTAAATACTTTATTAAGTTAAAATTTGTAGAAATAGTAACATTTATAAAAAAGTAATTTTTAAACTTTAAATTAGGGGTCATAACGAGAAAACAGTTAATTATGTAACTAATCTCAATAGTATAATGTCTCCTTCCTAAAAAAATATTCTAGTTATTTTATATATTTTTTTTATACATTTTGCATTAGCATAACTTATTGCATGACAATAATAGCTGTACTTTAATAGATGGTTAAGTACTATCAGCCAATTTGATTCTTCACCCACCATAAGCTTATTTTCTTACAACCAATTCAAATAAAAAAAAACTTTCGATTAAGTGTACATAATTGAAAACAATGTGTTATTTTCTGCAATTCATATTCATCATACCTGATGGATTTTGCCGCCTCCTTGTGCCTTATTGATGGCATTTCATTATTTGGACTTTGCCCATGACTTATGATTTCTCTATTAGTTAACAAACGTTTTTTATATCAAGAAATAAAATGAGTTTCTATTACACTTATGATTTTCAAAGTGATTTAGAAATTCAAACTACTATTCCAATTTACCTATAAAATGATCTATCGCATTAAAAACAAAGGTCAAATTTCAAAGATCTTGGACCATACTTAACAGCACAGTTTTCTCGTTATTAGAAGATCCTAAGTGCAATTACGCATTCTCTTCATAAGAAAACTTGTCTGTTTTGACATTTATAAGCGATTTATCGCACAATTGGGTCATGAGTCAATTTGTTTGATAGTACAAAAAATCATTAACTATTGTTTAATATATCTAAGCAGTTAACTTTGAAATGTAGAAATTTAGTATCAAATACTTATAAAGAATAGTGGAGTAGCCCTCGCAGTTCATCATTTCCCATTGTAGACGCCTACGAAGAGCACAATATGTTGTTTGTCGAGCAGCAAGTACAGGAACGGCCGGTCGGCGCGGAACGTGGCCGGAGGAGCGGGCATCGAGCACCGCATCATCATAATCATTCCTGGGTGCATACATTCCGTTGAAGCTTTTAATCTCAAAATACATTTACATTACCGAACTAATAATGAACCTTTTTCGAAGCAGTCAGTAATTTTCATATCGAACATTTTCGACGCGAATCGATGGTAAATGAGCCTCACGACACGACAAACCCTACGCACACGAAGTTTTAAACGACTGCCCGAAAAGGAATGTAATCTCAGGGTTCATGTACGTTTGTATGTTTCTTTATTCAACAATTACTTCTAAACGCCTGAGCCAATTTAGATGTATGTGGTATCGTTAGAATTCTTTCACCATCCCGGGTGACATAGGATACCTTGGTTGTCAGCTCTCAAATAGTCAACATTAATGTACTGGCAACTCTAAAGTTGCGGCTCATTGAGAGCTGGCAACCTGTGATTTTTTATTCTCCACACCATTTCTTTTCAAGATGTAAAGGACATTGGGCAAAAATGTATGGACGCTGCACCCACGTCCGCCACAGCTTAAACTATATTTGTTTGAAAGATATTAAAGTCATGATCATCTGTGCCAAAGCGCATCAAATTCTATCCCGGGGGTCTTTAGTTATTTTAAGTTAAATAGGTACAAGTACTATAACGAACGAACATTAATAAAACAAGGGAATTAATTTAGTAAGTTAGTTCGGCTGTACATAGAGGACTCGGGTATTATGGGAGTACTTCACAAGGTGCAAAGATGCCCCTCTATGTTATTCCGCCTTCTGTAAATCCAAAAATCCCCGCATGGGTTGGGGATTTTTCAATCAGTCTGTTCGTTATAGTAAATTGTCTTCTATGTAAAACGGAGCAACCACAAATCTCACAAACTTGTCCACACTTCTTGGTCGGAGAAAACATGATTCCAGTTCATCCATACTAATTGACAAAACCGATAGTCATGTTCCAATGTCCAAAGCGAAAAATCAATCAAGTGACAGGGAGCGCACAATCACAACGAAGTAAGACGAGTCGACTATTTGCAACTGCAAGTCCTTCAATGTGTCATATCTTTTGACTACCAGGTATGTTTTTAAGGTCTCATATCTTTTGACTCCCAGGATATTTTTTACGGTGCCATAATAAAAAAGGCTAGTTTTTCATAGATCTATCGATTCATACTAATTACATTGTTGGCGGAGCTGGGTGTGTTTTGCCCATTGTCCTTTAATGTAAGGTATTTGCGGCAATTCTTTAGGCAACTCGTCACTAATGCATTGTGTATTCATTGATCGTTCATTTAACACAATTTTATGAAACTTTCTATTTAAACACCTATATTATGTTAGATTCAATTGACATGAACTCATTATCTTTTGGTCAACATGCAACATAATTCCCTTCAGCCGATTTCGAAACCATTTATGAAAACCAGTTTCCAAAGAATAATTTCAATTCTTCTTACGAAACTGGTTTAGAGAAAAGGAAAATGTTTCTGCTTTCGAAGAAGAAGAAGTAAAATTCTGACAATAAAGCCGTAACTTTTTATAAGCAACTTAGTAACTGTTCATATAACCTAGAAATATAAATAAATAATAAATGA